AGTCACTTGTGTCATTCGTACGCCTAGACCAAACACAACAACAACATCCTTGCCTTTAAACGCAGAATCAACAAGCTGGTTCTAGCTTGAATGTTCCGCTTACCTTCCCAAGCACACCATATCCTTGAATTATGGGGCCTACCCCTTTAACTTTACGTGTAACAAAAAGAAATGCTAATGCCCAACTGTCATCCACCCTTGCGCTTTTCGTGACAAGTTTCCGCTTCGTGCCACTGTGTCAAACGGTGAAAACAACAGACCGACTATTCTCCGGCGGTACTGAACGTGAAGGCGTTATTTGGTAGTTTAGAGCATTGTCACCTGACTGATCTCAGCGAATCATCGTCTTAATGAGCCAGGAAACAACACGTGCACCGCGGAAGTGTTCTATCTTAATGATTACCAGAGTGGCCACATACATTTGGCGAGTACTATACAATACAATCCCAAATATGTTCACTTCCAGACAGAAATTTAAAAAGAAATAAAGATCAACCTATCCGTATTCTGGTTGATGAGCGCATAAACAAAATCCCCGTAACAAGCGAGCAATTCACTTCATTCGCATACATATTGTACACAGACGTTTTCGCAGGTCCTGCGCAAGTTGTCAAACGATGCTGAGACTACCTGATTTAGGGTCGAAATATTGTGCACGTGACCCAGAGATGGAGGGAGAAAGAGAGAGACCGGGAAGAAATTCGGTTGGTTACGGGGATGAATGAGTGGGCCGTACAGGTACACAAGTGACTACAGAATACAGTCGGTTGAACTGATCAAGAACTTTCGGTTTTGGCTTCAGCAGGTGGTTCTTTGTTCCAATCCCTGAGCCCTGGTGGTAAGGTGGTGTCTTCATCAAGCGGGCCTGAAAACAACAGAACGAAATAGAATTGTGCATGAGACGAAAAGTGATAAACAGGATCCAATAATTTTTAATATATCATGACCAAAAGATGTTAGGGATGTACCTGTATCTGTGCATGTGTCAACAGAAACCACGGAATCGAATCCCGAGCATTTAGACTATCCTAACCGCTAACGGGTAATCAAGACAAAAAGTCACGGTGCCACTTGACCCCATGAGATAAGGGGAGTTAGTATGACAGACAACAAATCATTCAGCCCACCACACGAGGTTACACAAACACGAAACACCCGTTGATTTGTGATCGGAGTCATTTGATTGTAAAACCGGCCCTGAAAAAGTTTACTCGCGATAACCCAAAACGTCGGCGAATAAAATTCTCTACCGACATCGCTGTGTTATTAGCATTAGGATATTCACAATAGCAGATCCAATAATCGTGAAATTTACAAGATATTTGATAGCATAGCTACCGGGAGAAAAGTCGGAATAGAGTATTTTCATGGTGTAAGAAACGATAATCGAACTCGAACTGACTCTTTGAATTCGTTCGAAATAGCCCTTGTACAAACTCCCTACCTCCTAACCAAAGAGAAAGGAAACACCAGAAGCAATAAGCTCGCGCAATCAACGCACCGATACCGATTTCAACAGAGCATTTTCTACATCTGTGACTCTATTTGTGGTTAGGATAGTAGCCTCCAATCTCGAGATCCCCTAACGGGACTTATGTGACCCAATCTTCTGGTTAGGGTTTTCATACCCTCATTCCACGTCTTCGATTGACCACCCTTGACCTGTTTACAACCGCTACCTGCCTCGGCAAACATCGCTCGCCGTGGTAACATTGCGTAACACATGCCCCAATCAACGTAATCTATGGAGGTCAACTGCTCGCTCCAGTGGACGACCGCGATGACACGTAGTTAGTTACGATGGATATGAACGAAGAAAAACAAGAATGACGACAGTGACTTAGCGGTAGAGATTGATTATTTGCCGATTGATTAATAGATTGCGTTCAAACCTAGTCACCATCAACCATTGATCATTTGGCAACTCTCGATTGGCCGCGGTCCCGTTCCGAATGTCGATCTTACAATGTTTATCTACCAAATAGTCAGGAATAGAGAGAATACTATACCATATCTTCATCATTAAACTGACGAAGATAGAGAAAATACCATAGAACAAAAGAATGCAAATGAAATGGGAATTATCGTCATCATCAGCTAATAAAATTATGTCCCCCCTCGAACGATCAACGATTAGCACTCACCTTGACCGACAATCTCTTCGTACGTTTGCTTTTCTGCAAACGGTCGCGGACCGAGAATCTCGACCAAGTCTTCTTTTTGCAATTGCTCTTTGTCTAATAGTCGGAGCGCGAGCTGTGGTCGACAGAGGAACAAACACTTTTTGAACAGTATAAGTGACAAACAGCAATCAATAATGCGAGTGATACAAGACGATATAGATTTCTCAAATCTGAGAGGCCAACCTATGTGTAACTGAAAAGCGGTTTATTCACAATGCGCACGAAAGGGAAGAAGCCGGTTGTGTGCGACGTAAGCAATGATCGGGCCGCATAATATACAGTCACACGTGTCTAACGAAAACAACCGAGTCAATCTAGATGCAGCTAGATACAGACAGTGAAACAAACAGTGTTGAGATGAGCAGGGTCTGTGGCCCGCAACAAGCTCGCAAATATGGTTTGTGTTATATCGTGTAAATGGAAAATGAAAAACGGCCTGCGCAGCTGCTCGGTGGCGTAGTGGGTAGCATGCTTGCCTTCTTCCCATGAAGTCCCGGGTTCGATTCCCAGTCGGGTCGATGGATTCGCATGGCTGATGGGACCCAAACAGGTCGGAACAGGTGTCCGGTGCTTCCGAGCTTTTCAGTTCACACTTCATTTGCTATATACACGACAAATTCTCATTTGAAACAAACAAATACCTAAGAATCGAGAGAATGAGGGATAGAGTTCGAAATCTTCGGGTGTGACTTTTTATTAGCCATGCTGTACACTCTGTGTGCCTGTTTGTTCTGGGAAATATTAACATCTCACAATATATGTCCTCCGTCGGTATGCATTGATGAAGTCGATGAACGGGACGCCATGTATCATACCGTACACTGTTCAGAAGACACCTTAGAAACACAGTGAAACTTTGACTTGTGGGACACGCGAAAGAGTGAGTGGAAATGGAACTCACATTGGATCAGACAAATACCTGAGAGATGATAAGGGAAATCAATATGAACGACCAGGTTGTGTGACGGATAATTGAGCGCTCGAATATTGTTCGCATCATGATGGACTGAGCATGGTTTTGTGCACGACCCAACCCGGGTGACTAGTAGATTAGAGCAGTCAAGTGAACTCAAGAGAGTGCAATCCACAATCGAATCATGTTGTCATTAATTATGATTTACTCAAATTTTATGGTACCACTTTGAACCCAAATTATGAAAGAGCGTGGAGGTTCAGAGTGGTTGGTGAACTGTCCAAGTCATAACTGCCTCAAAATGAACAGGATCAGGTATGTCTTTAGAATTGACTAGGGACGGACAATGGATTTCTCCCCTTTTTGAAGTGATTGGAAACAGATAAATTTTCCACAAACATCGCAAGTGAATCTGTTTGAAAATTGGACCGTTAAATGGGTTCCGTGGCTCGGAATACATCTCGAGAAGGAGCAATCTACAATCAACCAACTCAATGACATATTAGAACACCCGAGGTAGGATATTCCGGTCCATCAGATCTACGGATTTTATGCGATAAACGTATTTCCATCATGAATATGCTGCTGAAGATAAACCCTTTATGTTTAGTCTCGGTTCCATCATCTACCGGGCTGG